AACAGTGTTCTGATCTTTTATAAAGAGAAAGATAAAAGAATCTTGTTTAAATAAGTGAAATAAAAGCTGGCAGAAACAAAAGAAGAGTATACATTATTCAAGATTTGAGATAAAATCAAAGTGAAAATCTTGTTCAATTAAATGTAAAAAGAAAATATTCTCATCTATAATTCAGCTGAAACTAGAACATAATTATTTCAAATCTTAGCCAGTGTGGCTCAGTTGATAAGACTGGTAACCAAGGCCGCACACATTAGAAGTGCGTGGGTTCGAATCCCATCACTGGCATCTGTCACTTCTTACCCATGAAAGCCCCCATGTAATAGAGGCTGAGTCTAATTAGTAAGGCTTGATATGAGGTAGAACTCTCTACTACAAGTCAAGTCACTAGTTAAGTGAGATTCTGTGAACACTTATCAGAGCTGGCATGAGATGCTAATATCTCACTATTCTACTATGCATCTGTCAAGATTCTAATGATATAGAGTCAAGCCTAATGTAGTGATTATACACTACTTAAGTGAGTCTCTAACTAGAGCTGTTATCAGAGCCTAGCTTCTCTTCAAATACAGAGAATAATTTTAAAAATCACTTGACTAGCAGATCTAGATGTACATTTAGACTCTAGACAGAGCATTCTGATAGACTAGAGTCTACAAGCTCACTGTCAAGCCCTAATACTGGCAGAGAGAACTGCAGTCATCAAGTCTATGATTAGTCTCTAATACAGAGTGAGGTCATAATAACTGATTGATAGATCTATAGACATCTAATGAGACTGAGATCAGTAATCAGAAGCTTGATGTGTACATCATCAAGTGAGCAGTGACAGTCACTAACTAACATTCCTGAAAATTAGTGACTGGCCTGAGAGAACAGATGCAGTGATCAGTTAATTATAGAGAGTTAAATGTAATTAGCTTAAGATGCATTCTGCAGATAGCTAGTACTCATAGTCTTATAAAAGAGAAAATTGTTTGAAAGAGATATAAATATTCTCTGATAGTCAAGCTGCTTTAAAAAGACTTAGAAATAGTCAGATTTATAATAATTAAATAAATCTTGAACTGATCTTAAACTCTGTTTTAAAAATTCAAAAGAGAAGAACATCAAAGCTGAGAATTCATCTACACTAAGTTTCTACTTATATGAATATTCATGGCAATGAATTGGCTGATTCAGCTGTAAAAAAGAGTGTAGAATTAAGCAGATCTATTCAAAAAATTATATTCTGATCTTTTATAAAGAGAAAAATGAAAGAATCTTGTTTAGATAAGTGAAATAAAAGCTAGCAGAAATAAAAGAAAAGTATACATTATTCAAGATTTGAAATAAAACTCAAGTGAAAATCTTGTTTAATTAAATGTAAAAAGAAAATATTCTCATCTATAATACAGCTGAAACTAGAACATGACTATTTTAAATCTTATATACAAAGATTTGATGATAGATTTGACTTAATAGAATGCTTATTCTGCAATACAAATGAGAATTCTGAGTATATTATAATGCACTGTGTATTATACAATAATCTCAGAGTCAGATTGAAAGAGAAGTATAATCTAAATCAATTAAATATAAGATTCTTATTCTCAACTGAGACAGGAATTAAATACTTAATAGACTTTCTATCAGAAACTCAAGCAGCTATAAGAAAATGACTAAATTCAGAATTATCTGAATATGAAGAGAAGAAAATTAATTAGATATAGTCTGTTAAAACAGCTATACACTCTCTTTTAATAATTTATTTTGTTATAGTCTCTCTTTACTTTATCTTTTTCTGTATCTTTTTCTTTCAATTTCTTTCTATCTATCTATTTAATGTGTCTATCTTTGAGACTGTGTTCTTTCTCTCTTTTCTTTTGTCATGATATTGTCAAATGATTTCAAAGTATCAAAAGATGTTAAAACACTGTAACTTGTAAACAGTTTTTATATTCTGAGCTGAAATTTTCTGATTTTGCATATCTGAAATTGATGAATGTACAATAGTTAACTTTACAGACATAGAAAAAACCCTGAGAACTAAAGTTCTCAGATAGATGTTATAGTCTCTGACTGCATACATCTATAATTGAAGAATAATAATAATAATAATTTCAAATCTTATATACAAAGATTTGATGATAGATTTGATTCAACAGAGTGCTCATTCTGCAATGTGAATGAAAATTCTGAGCATATTGTAATGCATTGTGCATTATACAATAGTCTCAGAGTCAGATTAAAGAAGAAGTATGATTTAAATCAATTAAATATAAGGTTCTTATTCTCAACTGAGACAGGAACTAAATACTTAATAGACTTTCTATCAGAAACTAGAGTAGCTACAAGAAAATGACTGAATTCAGAAGTATCTGAATATGAAGAGGTGGAAATTGACTAGATATAGTCTATTGAAACAGCTATACATCATCTTTTAATAATTTTGTTTTATTATAGTCTCTCTTTACTGTACTTGTTTTCTTCTGTTCTTTTCTCTATCTATTTAATGTGTCTATCTTTAAGACTATATTCTCTTTTCTTTTATCATAATATTTTCAAATGGTTTCAAACTATCAGAAGGTGTTGAAATACTGCAATTTGTAAACAGTTTTTGTATTCTGAGCTGGAATTTTCTGATTTTACATATTTGAAATTGATAAATGTATAATAGTTGACTCTATAGATATAGGAAAAACCCTGAGAACTAAAGATTCTCAGATAGATGTCATAGTCTCTGACTGCATACATCTATAATTGAAGAATAATAATAATAATAAGTGTTATTTATATTAACTAAAAAAGACATTTATTTCAGTGATTTCTCATTAATTATACAATGTCTATTATTATATCATTATATAATTATATTATGATATTATTATATAATTATATTATGATATAATTATATTGTAATATAATTTCTGTTATTATTATATAACTTCAGTAATAGTCATCTCTCTTTTTATTCTTCTTTTAAGTAGAGAGTAGACTTCTTTGAATCTGATTTATTACTCTTATTCTCTTTCTCACATCTTCTCTGTTTATATACATGATATTCATCTGAGTATGAAGTTTTCTCTCAATAAGTGAAATAGTATTAATTAGATGCTCTTTCACTCATCACTCTTTATACACTCTCTTTTAAGACATTTTAGAACTACACTAACATAATAACTATAAATTACTTTATAGACAGAATTATCACACTCTGAAGAAGTCTGTACTTCTTATCAGTTTTTAGACATGCTATCAGATGTGATTCAAAGATTGCTTAAGTCAGTATATAATTACAGACATATACTGACTTCTTAGATATATTATCTAAATTAATTAGTGACTGCTAGAGCCTCTTTACATTTGTAAGTGTGTTTAAAAGTAACTGTGTTATTATTCAGCAGTCATACATTCTTCTGAACTATAAAAATAGATAACTTCTTTTAAATTCTTTATCATCTATCACAGAATAACCCGCTGCACATCTAGAAAGAGAGAGTATAGAAGATGAAATCAGTCTTTAAGTAAATAGAACTCTTCACTCTTTATATAATAAATAAGATAGATAGTAGAGTAGTAAGATAATATCATAGATTTATACAGAGCAGTTTTTAGTTTATTATAAATTATTATAAAGTCTTTATTTATCAGACTCTTTTCTACTGTAAGCTGAAATGTAAAACACTTAACTATAAATGCAGAAGCTTAATTTAAATGAGTAAATAAATATATAAAATCAAGTTCATTTTACACTGTATATATAAGCTCTTTAATAATGATAATATGATGATCTTCAGCTTACTCTGCGAGTCTTATTGAGATTATAAGATGAGAGTAACTCTGACGCGAAATCTTATCAAATATAACTAGTTGAAAACAAGATTTAAGTGTGTAAAGAGTAACTTAACTCTGAACTGAGCTCTGTTATTACAAACATACAGAGCTTTGTATTATTATTATTTATATTATTATTATTACTACTCAGTTCTGAAAAATGTGAAAGAGTGATTATACTATGAAATAAATAAGCTTTTTTTAACAGACTGACACAGGCTGTTCTGAATAAGAAATAACTGAAATTTTTAATTACTATCTACTTCTTCTACTTTATCTCTTTAATCAGAATCTTCATAAGAGTGAGTTCTATTAATATAATAAATAGATTTATCTCTTAAATTATCAGCTTATTTGATAATAATTAAGCTTGTTATCTCTATATACTAATATAAGTGATAGTAGTATAAAAGTTAACAGTTACTCTCTCTATTTTTTTCTTCTCTTTAATCTTATTTATTTCTTTATTTCTTCATTCTCTTAGTAATAAAAATATCTTTCTTATTTTAAAACTTGATGATTAATCTCTTCTTTCTTATTAAGTAATCAGATCAGATATTCATTTCTATACATCTTATAATAATTAAGAGTTGTAATAAAGATATATGAATAATGAAAATATAACTTAGTATAACTCAGAGCTGACTAGACTGACTACTGAGACTATGAATTTCATATTTAATTTTATTTAATCTGATCTCATACATTTCTTGACATAAATTCTACTGAGACTAGTTATTAACAAAATATATAAAGTAACTATATATAAGATCTTAAAATAAAATCATGACTTGAAAAAAATAAGAAAGTAATCTTATTTAATCTTATTTAGTTTCATTCTTGATATAAAGTTTCTATTTTTAGACATTTTAAGGTTTTTTTAAACTATTTTTAATTTTTTAAAAAGTAACACTTTTTAATAACACTTAAATGAGATTTAAAGTCATTTAAAGTAATAAAAATAATTTAAATTGAGAAGTAAAAATCATAATCTTATTTGAAAAATATAATAAGAGTAGACAGTAAGTCTCACTGAGATAGTATAAAACTACTATTTAATGTTAAAACTATGTAATAAGATCAGTTAAATTGATAATAAGACTATTAAAAAATCTAGTTCTAATCTTAGACACAGTTACATAGTCAGTCTAGAGCTGACTTCTTCTCTCAGTTTCTATCTCTCACTCTGATTATTCTTACTAAGATACTTATTAACATTTATATATTGTTTAAGTATATATCATTCTTCTCTTTAATATCTTTTTTTGTTTTTTTTTTTCTTTGTTAACTCTCTTTATCTAACATGTTCATCTTCAGAACTCTGCTCAAGTCAGATATCTTCACTGCACAAGCTGAAGTTGATATCAATAAGATAATTCTCTCAATCAATGCAACTGAGTATGACCTTGTTATCTGTGATTCACTTAAGTTGAGATGCTACTTCTGCAGCCGGGAAAAGTGAGCAGCTAATGAGCTAGTTCTGATCTGTGAAGTTGACAAGAACTATGATCTTAAGGGAAAGAACCTGTATGATGTTGCAGGGAAATTCTGCTATGAGCACAATGATCATCAGTTTGGGAAGAGGAAGGACATTGCAAACAAATACTGGTTCAAAAATTCATACAAGAAATTTCACATCCCCTTTGTCCCGGTCACAGTCAATGTTGTCAACACCTTGCTCAGGCCGGGCAGAGTCAATGCCAAATACTGTGTGAATATGATGGTCAAGGTCATTTCAGGCTGCACTGCTAGGGGCCGGCCGTCTAGGCTCGACTATTTTGTGAGTGGAGAGATACAGGATTCATCCAGCAGGTGGACTTACGCTGTATTGTGCACAGAGGACTATTGTTAGGAACCGTAGACGGATTTTATCCTTCGAGCCAGCCGGTCCACGGGGGGGGGGGGCACCACAGATTGTTTTCAATTCTCTCTCTATACATCCAGTTATATATATCTTTGTTGCAATTCCAGTGAATTTCTTTTTGCTCAGCCAATGATAGCAAATCAATATCGATAGGGAAAGTCTAGATAGAAGACAGCGCAGATAGTGAGCTGCGCTGCCGATATTGAGAGTGACGATGCCATACCGTGGGCCATGATCAAGGCGTTCGCGTGCCTGTTTGGATCACAAAAACAAACTTTGGGGAAGTCCGATAGCCCCTTGGTGTATTCCACAGATTTATTGTATGTGGCAGTTTTGATGCCGGGCCGAAGTGAAGTGTGGAAAATGCAGCACTTGGTCTCTCACCGATGGACAGAATACGCATATGTACAGTATGAACGGCGTGACTCTCCCAGTAACTCTCAGGCTCGTGAAATGTGAGAGGGAAGGGAGCTGGGTGATGATACAGCAGCACAATCAAATTTGGATTCCGGATTAACCGGCTTCAAAAAATGACATTTTTCATTGGCGGGCTTGCGGAGTAAAGGACTTTTGCAGCTCTGATGGTTCTGCTCGGTTTCTCCAGAGAGCACTGCTAATATGTCTCACCGTGGATTCCTATTGATATATGAAACAGCTCGCGCGCTTGACAAACAGGGGGTCCGTCTCGTCTGACAGATAACGCCCACTCTGTACCATCTCTATGAGTGTGTACAATGACTGGGCACCTTCCCACTTTAAGAAAATATGCTCCGCTATTGATGAACTGCCACAGGTAAATTTTGAGGTGTCGCAGGCGTCACAAATATCACAGCAGCCTGAAGTATTACATCAATCGGAGCTGAGTTTCTCAGAATGAACTGGACTTTCGCAAGCTGTTGGAGGCGTTGATATACAAGGCTCTAGTTTTACATCTGTATTGGAAGAGGCACATGGTTTGCAGAACGCTGCGTCGGGTGCTCCGGTAACCCGGGAGAGCGAAGAGAGCTCTGCTGAAGCGTTCAATATGTCCAAGAAGAGACGTACCTTTAGATAGGCAACTTGAGGAGGTGACAGAGTCAGACTTTGCAGCCCAAAAAAGAGTGACCATGCTTGGTGATAAAGTAAACGTAAAAATCACAATAGTTCCGCATACCCACCGCAATACAATCCACGTGTCCCAACTCCATTGGCCGGAGGAAATGCCAGATACCATGTCAGTGCAGGGATGACAGTGTTATCGATTCGCTGAGGGCTATGCACGGATCTTGCGAAGCTCAAGGTAGGTGGGGTAATTACGGCGCTTCCAGCATTGGCTGGGCTGATAAAGCGCTGTGATATTCCACAGATGGAGACGTTTCGCTTTCCATGGTCATTATTTCTAAGAGAGCAGAATTGATAATGGCCAACACTCAGAGACTTCTGGACTATTTGATGGTGGCACCGCCGGGGCTCCCTACAGAAGAAACTAACAAAACGTCCAACACGACAAATGACCAATATAGTTGGAGGCAGATCAACAGCGTTTGGTCAATGGTCTGAATTCACCTACGCCCATATTATGCAGCTTTATGGGACCTTGCTTCAGCAAGTGCAAATTGAGAATGAACCAATGCCGAACTCTCCTCCACAGCCTATAAACACTGAGCCGATGTTCGCAGTCCATTTCACTACCTATGTTCAAAGTCGACTACGCCGTGCGCTGCGAAGTAGTTTCCAGCATCTTGCACCTCAGCTTGCCAATCTGCATCTTACTCCCATCACAGTTGACATAGGTGATGCAGCTCAAATTATCAACAACTTCTGTCCTGATATTGCCTTTTTCCGAGCCGGCAGTACTCTCAACTCCTCCCCAAATCGCTGTCCAGGAGACCTAAAGGTGTCATGGAAATGGGGATCTGACTGGGCAGCAGCGGAGTCGCAGATAGATCGCACGGAGTATTTGCAGGTTCTGTCACAGATCAACTTCTACATGAAACAGCACAATGCGCGGTACGGCTTTGCCCTAACTGATACTGAATTGGTCCCTATTAAGAGACTCGATGTGAATGGCAACCTGTTGGTAGCACGGGCCATACCATGGGAAGCAGGAGGGCCTGGGCGTTTGACCGTTCTTATGGGACTTTGGTATCTCGGGATGTTGGGTGCAGCGGATGATGACTGGCAGCTTCTATAGAACACTACAGAGGTTGTATATTGTGTGACATGCTAGGGTGTTAAAAATTTCCAGAGCTCCTGCCTCTCCTCTCTCGCTCTCATTTTTTGTTATACCACGGCTCCCTAAACTATTCCGACTACTGGGTCTACGATCGTTTGGGTAGGTACAATTGAAATGGAAAGAGTGTAGAGATGAGGGATGCGAAAAATTTATAGCTTGGTACACGAATCGCTTGGTCTTCGTGAGACTTGACCAATAGACAGATACATACTTCCTGGTTCCTCACTATCGGAAGGGTGTGATGCTCTTGGGGTCGGTCTGTATGCGCGTGTGGACGAACCGTCATCCTAGTAATATTTTGTATTCGGGGGGAGACCCTGTTTCTGATCATCTGCCTGTAAAATCTGTCAGTGGCAAGGAAACAAGGAGCAAACATCGTCTGAGGCACCAACAAGTTTCACTCCAACACTCTCAACCCGCCTAGTTTCAATCTCAATCCAGCCACGTTCCCTATCTCCAATGTAGGTGCTATCAGGGTAAGTGATTGCAACATCAAAATCTATCCACACAACTCTTTCCGGGTTGTCAGGAACAATCATAATATTTTTGGGATAAGGGTCATTGTGCTCAACCAAAGCTGAATGTATCTGTTGAATGCCTTTGACTGCCTTGGCCATTCGCTCTTTGCTATAAGTGACGCAGTTCATTATCAAAGGGTTCAGCAGGTATTCCATCAAAATTGCACTTGGGAGGCCAGCGTCGTGTTGAAAGGCATCCAGATGAGGGGCAAGGGCAGTTGGGTGCAAGGATAGTGTGTATCCATAAAACTGTGGCACATAGCCCCCGTCACATATGCCAGATCGCTTGAGGCTGCAATAAGCCCGGATTTCGCAGCGAGCGCGATTCAAGTCACGGACCCCATCATCAGCATACCCAGCATCTTCATCATTGTGGAACTAGACAGGGTCAGAGCTGGTGTGTTTGAGATGCACTGATAACCAAGGCACCTACAACTTTCAGAACGCGGGGCATGCCATCATAGTTCACATGGAATATTGATGACACCTCTGATGTTTTCAGCTCTTTGATAAACTTGATCTTTGTGGGATCAATCTCAATCCTTAAATCGTCGTCGAATCCGCTCGCCTCGTAGATGGTACCCTCTGGGCCGCGAGGCAGACTGGTGCGCCCAGGCATGAGGGCGGGTAAGAAACCGAAGATAGCCAGGTAAGTTCCAGATGTTGCCAAAACATTTGGAGCTGTATAATGAATGACCCCCGTTACTTCCCCGGTGGAAGAAGGTGAAATGCTGAATGTGAAGCGCCGTTTCGCAAACTCGTCATCCAGGCGTCATGTCCGGAATTAGGTTGTTCCCGGCTGAGCGCCAAGTTGCCACATGTCATGTGACTGAACCGAAAAGGGAACAAACTTCTTTGTGTAATCGTAAAAAGGCTTACTGATGTTCTTATTTAATTTCCCCCATCTTGTCCAGCCCGTTGCTCCTAAGATGTCACGCGGGAAACATGGTCCAAGCATGGCGCTTCCGGCTGCGATTTACATATTTTCCCTTGCTTCAGGGACCCTTCATTTTCACTCTTGTTGTCTTATGTTATGATCTTCTTCACTCTTCCTAGATATTGGTAGACTATAAACTGAAATAGTTTTGACATGTGATCTCCCCCCAACCTTGAATAGCGGGTGGGAATTGGCCGACCTTGGAAGAGGAGGTGTACGTAAATACAGACAAAACCAGGCGATTGATACCCTAAGGAGACAACCCCCCAACCCCACACCACCTTCGCCCTCCGAAACAAAGAACCGGGACCAGAAGGACGCGCCACTATCCATACGGGAAGAACGTAGGGTTATTACACGACCGGATTATGGTTGTTCCACCATTTCAATCGGCGACACGGTCGCCGAGCTGTAAATCATAGTATAATGGTGAATGAATGATGGAATCACTGTAAATAAGTGATAAACTGAAAAAATCAATTATTATATTAGTAATGTCACTGAATTCAATCTATATAATCACTAATTCTAAAAATCATCTCATTCACTGATATTGTTCTCTATTGAAAATCACAGATACTTCTATCTAAATTCTCTTAAATTGACTGAATCAAGTTTCTTTCATAGTCTTCATTCTCAGTCATGTTACTCTCATTGATTATATCACTGAACTTATAAATTGAGATTTACAGATTAGTCATGATCTGAGAGACACTGTCATCAGTTATCTAATATTTGAGAGTTAAGATTTTAGAGTAATTAGATATCAGATATTTGAAAGTCTATATAATTATTAATCTCTGAATAAATCTGAGAATCATTTCACTGACTCTAGCTTACTGTTTCAGTGATTGTTTTATAAGTCTGAAGACTCAGAACACTCATCAGAGTCAGAAGATTAGAGAAGAAGAAAGAAGAAGAATTAATAGTAGTAATAGAGAGATCAGTGAGAATTGCAGAGAGAGAAAGAGAATTATCACTATTAATAGATTTTTTATTACTACTGCTCTCATTAACTGTATTACTGAGAAGTTTGATAATTATTTCAAATCAGTTTATTATTTTATACATTTTAATGAAAATGCACTGTGCTTTCTTTCTAAAACTATTAATCAAGTTTATGAGATTCTTCATTACTGCTTTTTAATTCTTATAATAATTATTGACTGATCTCAAGATTTTCTGCTGAATAGTAAGCTTTATATTTTCAATATTCAATTTTATCTTTTCAATGATAATTTTCTTCTTCTTTATAATAATTTTCTTCTTTTCAATCTTTAATTTGACTCTTTCAATATTCAACTTGATCTTCTTAATTTCAAGTTTAGCTTTTTCAGCAGAACTAATAGATGTATTTAAGGCTTTCAATACAATAGCTACACTCTTCATTTTTTAATTTTCTGCTTTCTGCTGATGTGTCTTTACTTTCTTGATTTACTTGAATAAATTCTTCACTGTCTTCAGCATGACTGACTTGACTGATTTCTTCATAACTGTTAAGATAGTAAGATAAAACTCATGAGTTCAGACTAGATTTTTGATTTCATCTTTGAATTTATTAGAATATATTATACAATCTTTCTTTTCATAATTACAGTTTGAATATAACTTTATACTTTCTTCAACTTTGTTACAAATGACATCAATATGATAGAGAAAGATATATGAGATGCAATATTCATATATTATTAACTTATCTGACTAATTGAGAGTTTTCAGCCTGATTACTGTCTCTTTCTCTTGTGCTTTTACAGCTGCTGCATGTGTATACTTGAAAGTGTCACTGGTCATTTGTACTGCTGTTGTTGTTATTGTTGCTGTTATTGATACTGTTATTAATACTGTTATTAATACTGTTGTTGATACTGTTATTAATACTGTTATTAATGCTATTGTTAATGCTGTTGTTGATGCTGTTATTGATACTGATGTGATGATTCACCGATATTCTTGCTGTACTGTGCACACACAGTATCTTATATTAGAACTTTTGATTCTTAAAGCTTTCTATTACAACTGGCAGAATACTAATCTTGCTAAAGATGAGAAAAGACTGAGTAGACTAAGTAAGCTGATAAATCAATATTCACATTATGATATGATTGTGAGAAGAAAGAAGAAAGAAAAGAAAAGAAGAATGACAAGTTAATATCTTCTTTATATATGTTGTTAATTCTTTTATAATGCTTTCATATTTCAGAAGACTTCTGAATATAATTAATCAGTGCATCTGACAGATTTCATTCATATCTTATTTTCAGAACAAATACTTTCTGTGTGAGCTATCATTGAATGAACTACAGCTATTTTGAATATAAAATCATTTCTATTAATCAGAAACAAGTGTTTAATACACTGTCAGAAATATATCTACAGAATTTCAGATAAATAAGAAGATTTTCTGATACAGTGAAATCAGTGATTCTGCTGCAGTCATAATCATATAAATTTTAGAGAATATGACAATTTTCATTGATGAATATCAAGACAGGTATATTCTAATTATATATATTAAAGTATATATTAACTAATTTATATATAAAACTCATAGAAAACTAAATATATTGAAATAGAAATAAGTTGTGTCAGAACTCTCTATGTCACTGAACACTCTATATCACAGGTCTGTCTTTTATTAGAAGTGTATCTGAAAATTTTATCTTTTTTCACATCTTCTCTCATATATCTTTCATCATATGTCTTTTTTTAACTGTCAGAGTATTCTGAATTATCTCTGCAAAATTATCTCTGACAATTTATTGATATTTGAGAACATCACTTATAAGATCTCAAAATGTCAGAATATCTTGTCATTGCAGCATAGCTCTGACAGAATTTTCATTTGTATCAGCATCATTAAATATTTTAACTTGAGTTATCAGATTTGTATATATCTCTATTTTTTGAAATCAGTTTCTTGTTTCTCAGTCTGATGTTTTTCAAACTGATGTTAACTTACATTTCATATATCATTGTTCTCACTCAGAGAATTGATCAAAGTCAATGATTCTCTGCACTCAGTAAAAAATCAAGAAGAACTTTTCAGTGATAAATGAATTACAAAAATAGTCAAAGATTGTTAACTCTTCATAGCAGTTATACAATCTGATTATCACTGAACTTTCTCTACTTTTTATCTTCTTCTGTTGAATATGATTCTATATTAATAAATGATTAGTTAAGTTGATCAGACAAGTTTTGATATCTCACTGAAAAGTTTAGATTTGTCTAAGATTTCTCACTGAAAGGTCAAGATATCTCATCAGAGACTTGATATATCTCACTGAAAAGTTGAGATTTTTGCTAAGATCTGAAATACTGAAAATACTTGTCTTCATTTCTTTCAATGTTCTTGACTTTCATGTCTTTATTGCATCAAGCATTGTAATTCAGCTTGATGAGAATATGTATGAGGTTTTATTCTTTATTTTCATCATCTCTGTGACTGTCTTGTTCAGATTGTTCTTTGAGAATGTAAGAAAATACATTCATCTGATTTCAACATAAAGCTTTTATTCTGTCAGCTGAATTTTCTTCTCATACACTTCTGCATCTGAGTGCTGAATTTGATGATGTCTCTTTGACAGATCACTGAATGTTGAGAATGAGTTTGATTTCTTGTCTGTCTGATATTCTTCATTGATGTCATTATATTCATTCTATAATACAGATATATCAATATATGATTTCTTTTGAAATCAGTGATTTGTCTCAGTAAACCTATCAGATGAGAGAGTTCAGAGAGATCTATTAAACTGAGATCTATGATCATGCTTATTTTCAGAATTTTGATAGAATTTTGATAGTATTCTGATAAAATAATCAGCTACTTGCAGAAATATAATAAAGAAAGTATGATTGTTAATATTAAGATAATGTTTATCACTGATTGCAGCTCTTATTGATATATTTCTTTTCAGTAATTCAATCTCATCTCTTTATTTTATCAAGACTGCTCATTCACTTCATTCATATCTTTTCAACTACACAACTTTTTTCTATAAATCATATCAGAAAGTAAAATGTCATGTCTGTTTAATTGAAATCTGAAACACTATCTGCTATCTATCTCTAGACAAGAATTCAGAGATAATCAATTGAAATTTCAACATCAGAGCCTCTCTTTCCTGAAAACTGTAGATGAAGATTTCACTGACAGTGATTCAGACAATGATGCTCTCAGCAAAGAAGCATTGCTATTTTCAGTAAGTTTATCACTTTTGATGTCTCTATTATTATAAAAACTAACATTCTCTAAAGACAGAGCTATATAATGAGAATACTGTCAATAATATTGAGTATATTAAGTGGCTTTTGAAAGCAGCTGCTGAGGAGAATATTTCTGAAAATGATGATTAAGAGAATTCTGATGAGTCAGTTACTGATGATATTGAAATACCAGCTGCTGATGCAATTGCTGTTACTATTACTAATCAATTTGTTGATTGTGATTCAGTAATTGATATACCTCACAAACACAGTAACTTTGAAATGAATTTATTTATTCTGATAATGAGACTCTGAGCTGAAGAGTCAGATATTTTCTGAAAAAACTATAAATCACTACTGTAAATTCTGCATTTATTGAAGAATATATCACTGATAAGTCTACTCTCTGAAGATCTATCAACTCTGAAAAAGCAATGCAGAGTATAATTTTCAATTTTACTAGTTAAGAAAACCTCAATTTCAATAGTGTTATCAATGTAAATATTAACTCTGAGTTCTGCTCAGAAAAATCTCACTGAATTTTTCATGAGATTACTCTACTTTTAAAATCTGATTCTCTTGATATCTGCTCTTCTTAAATCCCTAACTTTCCAGTGACAAATGTATATAGAAATGGCAGAAATTGTCAATAATCTCACAGAGTTATGATAATCTCACAGTTAAGAGAGCTCTGTTAAATATTAT